ATTTATACTAGCTGTCCATTAGGGAATAACTGTGTGTAGGACAAGGTATCAATACTGGTTGTTTCATAACGCTCACATCAGTTGACCTGTTTCTGTGGCGCTAGGTATATATAAGCAGTAGGTAGAGACAGATCGTTAAGCATCAACGCTTTCCGGCATAACTCGGTAAAGGTAAAACTATGATAATATTGTGCTTTCTGCACTTTCTGAGTTTAATCGTGAAGCTTTTGTTGTCATTCTAGACGCATCATCAACACTTCGTTCCGAAGTTTTTATGATGTCGTCTAGAATGGCAATGACCTTCTCGATTCATTTGTTAACATTGTAAATCACTGAATAGCACTATCTTTTCTTGCTTTTCATGTTTTAAATTATTAATTGAGAAATACTGACCTTTAAACGATTGAATGTGAACATTAATTAGCAACTTCATTGTGATTGCACAGCTTTTGAGAATGATATCACCGTAAACAAATTTTTTCAGCGAAATCTTTCTTTTTCTGTGACGCGATGGGGTTATTCTGATTTGGTTTGTTCTATCAATACAATTCCCTTAGGACATATAATTATTTTCCTGCATTTGATTAGTGGAGCCTGATTTTGAAAAGTAACGGTATGTGTATGATTTCATTCAATGCATTTTCGAAACCAACCATTAGTTTTTGTTTTCAAAGTGAGCATGAAAAAGAAGTCGAACAAGCAAGAAGAAAAAACTCACTAAGCAACCACATGAAATAGACATTGAGCCACATCTTTTGTGTGAGTACTAATGATATCATCTGAATGTTCCCGACTTGAGTTCCAAGCCCCTGACTCATGGATTAAAAATGAAGTGCTTAGACATATGAGTTAGCTCCACTTCAAAAAGTGGAAGGCAGGATTTACTGCAACTTTTAGAGGGAACATCATCGAAACAGTTTCACGACTTGTATATCTTTGGAATAAATAATGGAGATGATTTGAGTGCACCTTTTTGTATAAATGAAACCCCCTCAGAGTGGATCCTATCACTACATAACCTATTTCCTAGTAACAGATCTACAAAGGACCTTATCTGCGCAGTGAATTATTATAGCAATATTTATTTAATATAATGGTAATTTTGTACTTTACAAAGGTTTCACTGTCAGAGACAATTTGTTCTCAAAATGACTTCATCCTCTTGTAAAACAACGACAATGTTATTTAAAATCAGGACTTCAAAGGCTGTTTTCTTCCGCTAACTTTCTTTAAGGATGGCATTTAATCCATCTTTAAGATGTAATGTAGTAAAGGAAATGATGCCCCAAAAGAAATTTCGATGTTTTTAGCCAAATAAAATTTGCAATAAGTGCATCTCATATCCATATGCATTTCTCGTAATATACAAATAAAGTATGGCAAAATAATGTCTTTAATATGAGGTTAATCTCAATAGGATAGAATAACTTGAATGTGAACCAACTGATGCATTTGCTATTCATAGTGGCAAAAATTACAAAGTCTACTTTCCTATACCTTTCATAAAACAAGATGAAATAAATCGTTTCATAGAGGTATATTCCAAGTCGAAAAAGCTTAATACTATAATATTTTTAGCTTGGGATCACAGTGGAAAATAGGGCTCCAGTAGAGGGCCTCAAAAAATCATTTCCCTGAAGCCCATTCAAAATGGTCTTGTTACTGACTCAGTTTGTGTCATCGTTTCCTGCATGATCCAGACAAGTCGAGTCAACCACAGTCAGCAAGGTCATCGGTGATAGTAGACAGCCTTGTCTTATTCCTTCCTGTCTTCACCTCAAAGCCGTCAATGAACTGCTTACCACTGTCAATCACTTGGCATGTGGCGTCGTCATGTAGCTGCTGAATGACGTTGATAAAGGTTTGTGTCCCTGAAACCGTAGAGTTAAAGCAGCTTCCCGCAGCTTAACGCAACTCCTCGGTCGACGCTGTCGAAGGCCTTTTCAAAATCGATGAAGTTGAGGTGGAGAGTTGACTGTCATTCTATACTCTGTTCTATGATAATGTGTAGCCTAGCGATGCAATTTGACCCGCAAATGATTTGTTCTTCCTGAAACCAGTCAGCCTGTTCCAGTCGTAATTTTGAATTTAGCGCATCCTTTTGTCTCTCGAGGATGATATGGCATAGTATTTTGCTTGGGGTGGACAGGGATGGCAGCATGATTCCTCTCCAGTTATTACAAAACATGCGACTACCTTCTTCGAGAGTTTGACAAGGTAGCCCTTCTTCCAATCAATCTGCAGGTACCTCCCTTCCTCCCTTCCTCCCTTCCGTCCTTCGTCCCTTCCTTACTCCCTCACAAACTTTCTTCAGTAGTGGTGTGAGCGTTTCCACTGTTGTCTCAGAGTCGATTTTCAGTGCTTCTGGCGGAATTCCATCTGGTCCTGCTGAGCTTCCTGATTTCAGCAGCTTTATATCGTTCAGGAATTCGGCCTAATTCACAGGTCTTGTGTTCATTGGTAGATCTGTGGCTGGATTGCTAGTGGTATCTCTGAACGAGTTCAAGTCGGCGGTGGTGGTGGTGGTGTTGGTGGTGGCGGTAGTGGTGCTGATGATGGTCGATTGAAGAGTTTTTCGAAGTGGTCATCCCATCGTTTCCGTTGTTTCTCCTCTCTCTCTGACAACTAGGTTCCCTTCACTATCTTTCATTGGTTCCGTCTGCGTTGATCTCTTCCCTTCCAGATAGTAACCTGGTTATTCTATATAATGTTGTCTCGTCTCTATCCCTCCTACCAGTAGCCTGTTCTGCTTCACCTGCCAGTGTGTCGTAGAAGTGTCTTTCGTGTTTGTGCGCACACTTCTTCTTCACTTCCTTGTTCAGTGTTGTGTTTTATAGGTTGTGTTCAGTTCCTCATTTCATTGTTCATCCCTGAACTGTACTGCACCGGTTCATCTTCTGCTTCACCATCTTACTCTCCCTGCTCTATCATCTTCCATGTGTCCGTGGAGATCCATTCATTGTCTGGCAGCTTCTTCTTCCTTCCTAACACGGTTATGCAGGTTCCTTTCAACATCTCTTTCAAAGAGTTCCAGTGTTCTTCCACACAGGTTTTCTCGGGGATGTTGCTCAGTGTCGCCCACTTTGTTCTGATGTCTGACGGATGTGAAGATGTGCCTTGAAGTTTCGTCCTTCAGTTTCTGTTCTGGGTGTTGAACTTCAACTGTGGTCTATCACCAACTTCCTTCAAGACTCTCGACTTGATTTGGAAGGTAGGTTCCTTGCACTAGATAGTGAGTGGTGTGAACCTAACCTACATCTGCTCCTCTTCTTCATCTGATCTGATCTGATCTTGTGTCCAGTAGGCTAGCTGCGTCTCCACTTTCTTCACATTGAGATGAAGTCAGTCTGGTTTCTAGTGTGTCCGTCTGGTGAAATCAACTGCATGTTGCTGCCTTGTGAATATCCTTGTGTTTGAACACACTGCCTTCAGTCACCAAATTGTAGAATGCGCAGAAGTCTGCAAACGATTCTCCATTCTCATTCATTTCACCGAGTGCTTCTCGTCTCGTGATGGATGAGTTCTCTTCCCGTGTTGTTCGCTCCGAGTTTGGCATTCATGTCGCCTCACCCATTAGGATTTCGATGTCGCCAACTGGGATGTGGTCTTGTCCATTACTGTGTGTGGTTGTCTGTAGAATTCCTCCTTCTTCTCTTGATCTACCTCATTATTTGTAGGTGCGTAGTGTAGCATTGAATGATTGTGACTTTCTTTCCTTTTGAGTTGAGTCTTGCTGTCATGATCCTGATCGTGCAGGGGGAGATTCATTCTCACTGTGTGAGAGCCTTCGATGCTGTTGGGGTGGGGACATTATGATAGCCACTCCGAAACTCAGTGTGCTTGTGGTTATCATCTGGTTGAGAATATCGGAGTAGATTGTTGACTGTTCAGTTAAGAGTTTGGAGAGATAGGTTCCATTCCATCTGCTTTCTGAGATTCGAAACAGTTGTTTGCCATACGTTTTCATCCTTTTTGCAATCTGGGCAGCTTTGATAGTTTCATGCATTTTGTGCCTATCCTCACATTGAGCTTTAAATATTCTCTACTATCTTAACAGCTATCCCACTTCATTATATTCCTAGCAATTTTCTTTGTTTAGATTTCAAGCAAATATATAGTGAGAAAATGTTTAAATTTTATTTTATAATTTCATAATATGTGAAAATGTCGACTGACAATAAAATTGTCAAAGTTGTGGTAAATTATCCCTCTCTTTTTTTATCCGATATCGATATTTATGAGCCAGTAATTCGAAAAGTTTCTTTCTGATTTTATTAAAACTGTTGAATTCCATTCACAAAACTGTTTTCTTACTGACTAAAGAAAATTCATCTGAGTTTTGGTTGCTGTGCTAATAGCTTCATACTTGCTTACTTGAATTATAATTAAGCTAAACTATTTATTCTCTCAGTTAAGTGGAACAAATTTCTAAGTGACTTAGCAAGCGAAATCTAATTGGATTCGCCAATAATTGCAGTAATTGCAATTGTTTTTTATATGGTGTTGGTGGATAAAACCAAAAAACCTAACTGCAACTCCAATCCAGTTCCGAATAATTATTCTGATGTTCTACATAAAGGACTTTGCTGATAACAAGCTTCTAAACAGATTTTCATCTTATGGCATACTTTGTTTATTTGTCACAATGATTGCATGGCTGTCCGTTTCTCATTAGCTGAGAAAAAATACTGAATAATTCAAGAAGAATTAATATTTAGCAGGCAGTTGTTTCTGTTTATCTAAGAATGCACGACTTCATACGAAAACCAAAAGTCCTTTCATCGAAATTTAATATGAACTTCTGTTGGTAGATGTGTATACAATCTGTTTATCTACAGAATGATATAACTTCAGTTATACTGTGATTAAATCTGCCCCATTATATATTTGTCAGTATGACTGAGCAACTTTAAGAAGCCTGTTATTTTCAGTTTTAGTAATCTTAACTAAAAACAGCATACCACGTGTAAATCTCATCTTAAAAATAATATTACACTTACTTGTCTCATGGCTTGTCTGCTTGATCTTTGTTTTCTTTGGTAGATGCGTGAAAAATTGGATACAATGACTGGTACTGGTAGAGCAATAACCAATACACCACATAATGAACAGACGCTGCCAATAATTTTTCCTAACACTGTGGATGGTATCATATCACCATATCTAGACAAATGAAGATGATGAATGTTAGAAAACTGTTGGAAACGTAGATAATTAGAATCACAGTATTTTTCGAAAATTACCTTTATTACTCTAAAGATGTGTCTTAGTTTATTAAAAGTACCGGCCTTCTTAAGCTATTCATATGATACATTATACAAGTAAGTTTTAATATAATCCCAGCATGTTTAGAAAATCGAAAACAAGATTTTTTTGAACGTTTTGTTGTGTATGTCAAAGCTTCTTTAGATGATAGTTTTATTTCTTGACTACATACATACACCAAACTGATCAAATTCACGTAAGTGAGCTAGCAAACTCAAAATTGCTTTCATATGGTGGATACGGTTGTTGTTTGTAACCCATTTAAATTTCTTAAAGTTTCATATGAAACTCCTTCAATCGAAATAGATTATTTTAGTCTGAATCTAATGGTTTTCTAAGACAGTTTTAAAAATTGGTGTGACAAGCCTTAATTCAAAGTATACATCTTAGTCTTTTTTGTGATTTATGGCGTCTTTGTCATCTATGGTAAAGTGAAGACAGTGTTTTGCTTATCACGTACACTACGGAAGAAACGTTTGTTTCAAAATTAATTGCAAGTAAATAAAGAAATTATAAGTTTGCATGTCCAAAGTGAAAGAGCAATTCATCTTTTTTTATTTCTTCCATTGTGATTATAAGTTCAGAAATCATGAAATTAAAAGGAATATTGAGTAATCGGGATTATTATGTGCGCTATTATTAGACTTTAATTTCACTTGGCTTGGTTTCAAAAACTGTTAGTCGAAAGGTTTTCCAGTTTGATAGCTTGGTGGATAATTTGCATGAGAAGTTGATTATAGCCTTGTTGACATGTGATGTTTTGGTTTAAGCTTCTGATTACCAAGTGATAGGTTGCATTTGTATTGACCCATGGAAAGTGTCTTATAAATTTCTACCTTAAACTATATCGAATTGCAATTCTGTACCTAAATAAGTAACTTTTACTGCATCTGTATGTTTTCAAGGTATTGTTATAGTGTCTAGTATTGAAAGAAGCAAGAATACTGGTGTGAAGGAAGGGATGTTCATTGTCGAGTAGTGGGACAGCAGTCGTTAAATGTGGTGCACCTTGCACTAAAACCGTCATTTGCGAAATGTGCTTTATTTCCTCTCCTGCTTCTTTCTTGATTTGCTCTTCATACGCCTGCCTTGTCTCTTGAGTTTCTCTTGGCTGAATTTTTACCTATTGCTGGTAATTCTTTATGATTTCTCCCAGCCTCTCAACATATACTACTTATATCCATTCTTATCAGGAACGCCCACTACTGTATTATCGATATTACTGAAGAATGAAAATGTTTTACTGTGATTTTATTTGTGACCGTCACTTCATTTCCTGGTCATCCACTTTGTAAAATTAGCTAGTTTGATTTTTCCTATTGATTTTATTCGAAAGGAAATGGCTGTCAACCTTGTGAAACTCCATTAAGGTTGACGAGCTACTCACTTACTTTTCTTTAAACCCTTTGCGTTTTTCAAATTTTCAGTTCAAAAACAACCAACATACCAGAACTTCCACAATTTCATATGTTATAAATAAATTCGCATGATGTTCCTTAAATGGAACTTAAGCCAGGGGGTAAATTGCAGCAAAATTATTACAGTTTGTTCCTTTATGTAATTAAAGAAAACACTTTGTTAACGTGGTTTTGGAATCCAACGTTTTAGTAAATACTTTATTTCATTCATGTAAACAAGAGTACACCTGTATGAAATTCGTCGCTATGTATTTACCAACTGGCATACTTTTAAACTAGTGTGTATTCCCTTCTTAATATGTCCTATTCAGTTTGAGCTTAGATACAAGGAAGAAAAGAATACCACCTATTGTTTGACACTTGCATTATCCCGTTGCTATACTGGGTCAAGTTGCTCGAACCCTATTGGCATATGGGCTGCTATAGGGATGTCTCAGTACTGCCGGATGTTCATGATGTTATATTTACCTTGGTGGCTGGCAGTGGAATCCAGAACGTTTGTTTCGCCCTATTGGTACTCGTCAGCCGGATGTATCTGTAACTACAACTATGACTGTAACTAACAATAACTAGCTATTACTATGACTATAACATAACGAATATCTGAGCAGCATCGAGACATCCACGTAGAAGTCCATCTGCCAACACGCGTCAACTAATTTGACACAGTATAGCAGCCGGAAATTATAAGTACCAAATAACAACTCATGGCCACTGCACAAGAAGTGGCTGTCATGCCTCAGTGGCCTAGTGGTTGATGCTTTGGCATTTATAGCGGTGGATACTGGGTAAGAATCTCAGTGGGAACAACATCACCCACTGGGACGCAGGCACATCCAGCTGACGAGTCCCAAATAGGATGAAAGGAGAGTCACGGATTTTGTTGCTGGCCACCAGGTAAGCAGTAGAATACCATCCTTTTTGACTGTAATTATCATTTGATATATATCTTGTAACTATGATAATGACTTCTGCTGCATCACCACGTAATCATATTATAACTTTGCTTTGGTTTTATGCTCATTATTCAAAACTACAGTAGCTTTTCGGCTGGCGATAGGTCTCATGTTTCTATTATTCTTGAACCTGATTGTTTACATTTTTTAGCTCAGTTCTTTTCATTGTTGAAGCTCACTACATCCCTCCACTTCTAGTTTCCACTTCTTCTACTACTAAATTGTTCTTTAATTGCGTAGGGCTGTTGTTGAATGCACCACTACAATCTAATGAGTTTTGTTTACCTGTATAAGGAACAACAACTTAGTATTTTTTCATGGTTCACTTCAGTGAACTAAATAAATTTAACTCATCTAATGTTTGAGTCTTCTCAAGTAGCCTCTCTATATTGCTTTAAGTTTAATTTTGATACTATTTATCCTCACAGCTTTCAGAAAAGTTTTCTGATCTTTATTGTTGATCGCTGCTGTCCCCAGTTAATACAACTGGGATTCTTAGCCATTAATTTCTAATTTCCCATTACTTTTAGTGCGAAAACCTTTTAGTCATTTCATGAACGATATTTTATCTCGCGATTTCCGTAATTTCTGCTTTTCGTATAAAAAGTGTTCACCCTGGATTACAGAAGGTATGTCATCTGGTCTTTTTGTCTTGTATGCTCTATTGTCTAAAGTATTTTGTGCTACCATGTTATGTTACAAACACTTTAGTTTGTTATTGTTTGTGTATAATATGTGAAAGGTTTCGTTTTAGTTTTTGAAACTTAGTCACGTTTTTTCAAACAGAGAAAGTTGAATTAATTCATCTTGATGCAAAGTAAATCAGAAATAAATTCAAAACATAAAAGCAATGAAGTAAATGTATCAGAAATGGGCACTTCTTATTGTTTTGAATCAATTGTTCCACCAGTTTAGGAAACTGAGACATGTAGTTTACCTACACGGTAGTATGAAATTTTAATTGATTGAGAATAGAGTTCATGTTCACAAATTTCTTTGTCCTGGTGTATTTCTTTCGCATGTTGTATGAAAATATAATCCAATCGTCGAGGAAAGACTCAGTTTTATAAGTTACTATGCACAGATGTCTTGATTTTTAAACATATTTTCTGATAATTGCCAATGATAGCTATTGAGAGAAACTTTCTGTTTCACTCTGTACTATGTTTACCTTGGTCATCATAAAGTAAGCTTGGTATAATTACTCTTGTATAGGAAGTATATTAGGATACATGTTGTATCATATATTATTTGCATCAAACTCACTATTATGAGTAAGCTTTTGTGAACATTTTGTGCGCATTATAACATTTAAATAGATCATCGGGTGACAATTGATGTAGTTAACAAATCCCAAAGATAGATCAAAACCTATCAGTCAAATTAACTGTAACCAAGGCAAATGAAAAGACAACACTACACCCTATTTCACTGCTGGATTTTACAGGTCAACATGGAGGACACACAAAAGTCTGATTTCGTACTTGATGACACTCTTCAGTATGGCATTTGAAACATTGAGGGAGTTTATATTCCCTCCGATATTTCACTCATATTCAGTTCGACTGTTTGAAGCTCCGATTAGTTTATGAAATCGTATGTATATACTATATGTTGCGTGCCGAATTAATGTGGCAGGGTTTCAGTGGCTGTAAAACAAGATTGTTAAAAGTTACCGGTCTCAAACTGTGGAATACTGTCAACGATTTAGTGTTTCCTATAAAAAAGACAGTTATGATGATGTGACATCTTAGACTAAGCGTATTCCAGTGAAGTCGTTTTGAAATTCATATTGTTCTCGTCAGCAATCTTCCTCAATCATAGTCTTGGATAATCCAAAATAATGGAGAATGCTACCGCTTAGTGCAATGACAAAGTGGTAAGTATAATTTTACGAGTAAATTTAATTTATTTCAACAGTTGCTCCGATTTATACTAAAGCTTGCCCGTATCCCAGGTTGTCGTCCTGAAGACAATGCCCATATACATATATATTAGGCTATTAGAGCAGGAGGACGTGTGGATAATATAAAAAACATTGGAAATAAAGAGAAAAACTGATTTTCATGCGGAATAGTAGTTTTAAGATTGAAAATATTGATATTTATAGACCATAGTTGCTTTTTTTGTTCATCGAAGGAGTTATTTACCTGCATTTGACAGTTTGTTTGAAAGATAACACCCTGAATTCATACAAATGTTTTGAAAATATTGGTCATTTAAATTACTGAGGTGAGATGCAGAAGCAGTAGCTTGAAACATCTTTTGTGACATTCAGATGCAAAACGTTGGTTCTAACATCAAGAACTGAAATGGTAATCAAAGTTACCCTAGCGTAGGATCCAAAGTAGAATTGTTGGCTACCACTGAGATATTAAGCGCTTTGTTCTTGTTACAAATACTGAACTCTACCAAAAAACAAGCAGCTGAGTATACGTAACTCATTCTAATTCCCAACTTCCTGTTCACAGTTACTTGTAATTCATTTTAACGTCTTTAACATTAATAGTTATCTTTGAATTGT